CTGGCGCACGTACTGGCCCACTCGGCTCCTGTCCTTTTCCAGCTGCAAAGGGCGCCAGGGAACGGAGGGAAGGCTCGGCTCAGGCTCTGCCCCTTGGCCGGGCGCTCCCTGCCCCCAGCACGGGGCTCCCCTGCCCGCAGAGCCCTGAGGCCTGGCCAGCAGCCGCTGGGGCCGGGTTTGGGGGGAGCAGAGGGCTGGGTGCTCCAGGGGAGCCAGGGGCTGGGGCTTTGGGGCCGTCCTTACCAGGCACTCGGGAAACCTCCATGGCTGCTCCATGGTCACCAAGTTCTCAAGATCCCTCCACTTCAGGAACTTGGCTGCACCAAACAGTGCTCTCCGAGAGGCCTGCACAGCAACAGAGAGCGGGCCATGGCACCGCAGCCCAGGGCACAGCACCCGCATCCCTGCGCCAAGGCCAGGAGGAGGCTGCAGGCGACCATGGGCCAGGGCAGGAGGCACAGCAGCCTCCTGCCATGGGGACACCAGAGCCCACGAGTTCTCACCTCTGCCACACGCTGGTTCTCATCGTGCCAGTTGAAGTAGAATGGCACCAGACTCAAGTACACGTGTGGCTTTAGGCTCTTGCTCCTCTCTGTCGCCTCCATCAGCTCCCGGAAGAGGAGCATGGAGAGCTGCTGCAGCTGGCTGTGCTCCTGGTGCAAAGGAAGAGGAAAAGACCTCAGCACTGGCTTCTCCAGGCCCACCGGGGCACAGGCCTAAAAAGACACTGGGCCCAAAGTTTCCTGACAGCACTCAGTACCCACGATGAGGGGCACAGAGCCTTACGTTGTCAAAGAGTGGCCGCAGCGCCTCAAGCAACTTCAGGGCAATTGGGCTGGATATTTCGATGACTTTCAAGCCCAGCACATTGATGAACACAGAGAGAGTCATCTGAACTGTGTCTGTGTCTGCATCCTGCAGTAGCTCCAGGAGGCTTTCATTCAGGCTCCGGATGCTCTTAGCCTGTGTGGAACACAATGCTGTGGTGCAGCCCCACGCTGCTGCCGCGGGGCCCAGAGGCCAAAGGTGCGTCCCAAAGGAGTCGGGCAGCTGAACGGGGAGGAGGAGAGCTGGGAGCAGCTGCCACAGCTGCCAAAGGCCAGCCAAGGCCAAGCTACTGCCTTGCACAGCCGCACGCTGCCGGCCCGGCTTCAGCCCCTGCCCCCTGCTCACCATTGAGGGAGCCTTGCTGAGCACCAGCAGGCCTCGGAGCGCCAGGCGACGCCTCTCCGGGCACTGCCTGCGCAGGTGCCTGGAAATGATCTGCAGGACGCTGGGCCCACATTGTCTGGGGTTCAGGCAGTGCAGGACCTGAAAGGCAGGGAGCAGTGACGGGGTGCCCGGCCGGCAGGAGCCCAGACCCGCCCGGGGCTGGGCCCAGGCAGCAGCACAGGGTGCAGGCACCGTCCCGGGCGGCTGCGGCTGTGAGAGGGCAGAGAGGGGGAGGCAGCTGGGCCAGGCAGCGCTCGCCATCAGGCTCACCTCCACCAGGAACGCCAGGGCAGGCAGTTCCCACAGGGGCTCTCCCCTGCTGAGCCGCGGGAGCAGGCTGACGGCGATGCTGCGGCAGAAGGAGCGGGAGAAACGGCACAGCTCCCTGCAAGGGGGAATAAAGGTGCCAGAGACCCTGAGCCAGGTGGGCAAAGCTCTCCTGGGACTGACTCACACAGGCCTGGTCTTTGGCCACCAGCCCAGGAGAGGACGTGGGCACTTTGGGAGGTGGCTCCTCCTGTGCAGCCGCCCCTCTCCGCCTTTTCCACTCTGCTCAGCCATCCCTGGCTGCCAAGGCCCTCTGGCCCAGCACACGAGTACTGTGTGGGGTGGCCTGTGCACAGGGCAGAAATGACAGGGGCAGTGGGGAGAAAGGGCTCTCACCTGGCCAGCAGACCCACTGCATAGTGGTGGGTGTCAGCCTTGAGGAGCATGTCCCAGCCACACTTGCGACCAATCGCCATCAACACGTCCTCATCCAGCAGCTGGCGCAGCAGGGCTTTAACGGTCTGCACTGCAAACCTGTGTGCAGAGCACAGCCCAGGTCAGGCACAGAGCCCTGGCCCCAGCCCCGAGGGCGTGGCAGGGAGAGGGGACTGGGATGGAGCACCTGTTGGGGTTGGGGGGAAGGCTGCGCTGCTCCCGGCATTGCCTCCAGAAGGTCTCGACCTCCTCTGACATCTCCTCTGTGCTGATGAAAACTTGGAAGAGCAGAGTCAGAAGGAGGCGGGGGAAATTGTCCTTCACTGCACTTGGGCACCAGGAGTGGGACAGCTGGATGATCTCCCAGAGTGCCACAGTTGCCTGCCAAAGACAAAGCACCCAGAGACAGCTCTCAGGGCCCAGATGTCCATGTGGCAGGGCCCAAGCGTGGCCGGGACAGGCCAGAGGAGACACAGGGGGATCCCCCAGCCTGGTGTCCCTGAACCTGCCCCTAAGCCAGGCTTGCAGCCCAGTGCCTGGGGCAGGGAGAAGCAGTGGTGAGGGAGGATGGAATAGCGTCCCAGAGGCAACCTGGAGGCGAGCAGAGGTCAGCTCAAGAAACTCACAGCCAGGGCAAAGACATCCCTCTCATCCCCATCAGAGGTGCGTCTCCTGTGCGCTGGCCAGTATTCCAGCACATGGAAGAGGATCTGCAGCACCGGCTCCTTAGTCCGTCTGAAGGAGATGAGCGTCTTCCACATGGTGCGAGCAGCTCTGTGGAGTCACAACTCTGGCTCAGGGGGGTCTGGGACACAGCGCTGTGGCCTGGGCAGCTGCGGGGCCCAGGTGACAGAGCCACGGTGCCTTGTGGGGCAGGGAGGCAGGCTGGCCTCAGGATTGGAGGCTGACATGCCAAAGCTGGCCAAGAGAGGAGCTGGAGTGTCTGGGAAGTCTCCATGTCTCTGGCACACCATTTGGGACAGGCTGTCCAGGGGGATGGGGTCTAAAGGCAGGTGAGCCCTCAAGGCAGGTGGGCCCCATACCTGTCACAGGCTGGGGCAGAGCGCAGCAGGGTCACTGCAACATCCGTGGGGTGTGCCTCGGTCAGCAGGACAAGAGTCTTGTCCAGCCTGTGCTCATCAGACACATTGGATGTGAGCCACTGATGGATGCACCTGACTATGGCCGGCACCTGGAGGGGACATGGGGGACAGTTGGAGAGCTGCCAGAGCCAGCAACTTGCTCAGCTTCCCCCAAGAATTGCTCCCCTTGCCACCACACTCTGCTGGTCTCAAAGGCTGAGGGGACCCAGAGCAGCCGACGTGAGGGGCCACAGCATCCCTGGGGGACTGGAGCCCTGGCCACAGGCTGCTTACTTGCTTTGCTTTGTAGACACCGTTCTCCACAAGCAAATCCAACAGGGCAGCGCTGGTCTGGGCATTGAAGAGGTCCAAGTTTGCCGTGTCCCCATGGGCCATGAAAGTGGCCTCTTCGTGCCAAATGCACCTGATGAATCTGCAAACCAGCTACAGGAGAAAGGCAAGGAAGAGAGAGGGATGTCCCCTGGAGGGCCGCGACAGCAGTGCTGGGCTGAGCAGTGAGAGCAGGCCCAGCCCAGGCGGGGATGGCTGCAGGTACCTGTGCTGCCCTGCGGAAGCGGCCACGGGCACGGAGCTGCTCTTCTGTCCGCTCCTGGCCTGCATCTGGCAAAGAGCGAGCGCGCTCAGAGCTGAGGGTGTGCGGGAGAGGCCGGAGAACACAGCCCAGGCCTGGGCTCCAGGAGCAGGCAGGGCCAGCCCCGGGATGCCCAGTGGATGGAGCACGGCTGCCAGGAGATCAACCCCAGCCCCTCTGCCCCCCTCCCTTTCCCTGGGCATGTCCAGATGGGATGGAACAGGATGAGGCCAAGGGGGCTGCAACCACCAGCCCTGTGGCCCAGCTCCAGCACTCACCCTCCTGCGGGGGCTGCACCTGCTGCACCTCTTCAGGCTGCTGTGCTGGAGCAGCCCTAGGGCTTTCCTCCTTCTCCTCCTCCTTCACCCAGGCCAGCTTGGGCACCGTGGGGGGTCTCTGCTGCATGTCTCCATCTGGTGTTATGGCTACCTGCAGCAGAGATGCCATGGAAAAGCTTTGGCTCCCCAAGTCCTGCAGTCGTGCCTTCAAGGCAGCTGCAAGAGAGAAGCCTGGGAAATGCCTCGCCTCATCCAGTCCCACTGTCTGGCCTCAAGGTCACCTGCCCCAGGGACTGGAGATGCCTTGAGCAGCCCCAGGTCCCCAGGTCCCACAGTCTGGCCTGGAGGATGCACAGGGGAGAGGTGGAGAGCTGCCAGAGTTAGATACTTGCCCAACTTCCCCTGAGAAATGCTTCCCTTCCCAGCACACTGTGCCAGCCTCAAAGGCTGAGGGGGCCCAGCACACCCAGCTTGGGGGGCCACAGGCTGCTTACTTCAGCAGAGACAGCTCTCTCCTCAAGAAAGTCCAGGCTGGGGGTATCGACCAGGCGCTGAACAGGCGCGGCCTCAGTGCTCGCCACGCCCTCCGTCGTTCTGGCGTCGGCCTCCTCCGTGAGACCAGGCAGCACAGAGTCACAGTGTGACACATCATCGATTGACGTGGTGTCCCAGTGGGTTGTGTGATCACTGGTTGTGGTGTCACACTGTGCTGGGACAGCAGTCGACGCGGTGCTGACATCAGGCTTTGTCAGCTGGGTCGGGATGGTGTCAGGCTGGGCCTGGACATCAGCTGGTGTGACCCTGGACTTTCTACGCCGACTGCCCATGAATTTCATAAATGTCTGCAGGAGAAAGAAGGGCAGGGAAGAGAGGGATGTCCCCTGGAGGGCCGCGACAGCGGTGCTGGGCTGAGCAGTGAGAGCAGGCCCAGCCCAGGCGGGGATGGCTGCAGGTACCTGTGCTGCCCTGCGGAAGCGGCCACGGGCACGGAGCTGCTCTTCTGTCCGCTCCTGGCCTGCACCTGGCAAAGAGCGAGCGCGCTCAGAGCTGAGGGTGTGCGGGAGAGGCCGGAGAACACAGCCCAGGCCTGGGCTCCAGGAGCAGGCAGGGCCAGCCCCAGGGTGCCCAGTGGATGGAGCATGGCTGCCAGGAGATCAGCCCTGGCCCCTCTGCCCCCCTCCCTTTCCCTGGGCATGTCCATATGGGATGGGACAGGATGAGGTCAAGGGGACTGCAGCCACCAGCCCTGTGGCCCAGCTCCAGCACTCACCCTCCTGCGGGGGCTGCACCTGCTGCACCTCTTCAGGCTGCTGTGCTGGAGCAGCTCCAGGGCTTTCCTCCTCCTTCTTCCTCCGGAACAGCCTGAGCAGGCTGAAGCGTCTCCCTGCCATGCCACAGTCTGGTGTCCAGGGCACCTGCAAGAGAGAAAGAGAACCTCGGAGAAGCTCCGGGCCCTAAGTTGCAGAATGGCCTTGAGGCCACCTGCCGCAGGGATTGGAGACACCTCGGAGAAGCTCCGGGTCTCCAAGTCCTGCAAAAGGGTCCCAAGGGCACCTGCCACAGGGATTAGAGACACCTTGGAGAAACTCCGGGTCTCCAAATCCTGTGGAAATGCCTCGAGGTCACCTGAAAGTGAGAAAATCCTCCAAAATGCTCCGGGTCAGCAAGGCACGAGTTGGCTGCGCGGGGGCTCCGCACAGCACCGCTCTGTCCCGTCCTGGCCCGTCGCCTGCTCCGAGGAGCACTGTTGACACTGTGGCCGTGTCACCAGCAGCACCTCTGTCACCACGGGTCATAAAGGGCCCTTGGACACCCTGCCCCCTTCCATCCCACCGGCCATGCCCAGCGTGTCACAAAGGGCCCTGGGACACAGTGCCACGTGGCCTGGGGCCTCCCCCAGCCCCGCCAACCTGCCCCACCTTGGAGGGAATCTGCTCTCTGAAGTATCTAATCTGGCTGGACCTGAACTGTAGGAACAGCTCAAGAAATGAGCAAACACTCCCCTCCTGTGCCTGCTCACGGCAGCACAAGGAGCCCCCTCGGCCGCCGACTCAGTCGCAGCGGGAAGGGCACGGGGCCTTCCACACAAGCTGGCACGGCCTCCTTGGGAGAAGTGCTGGCTGGTGGCCATCCTAAACAGGGGGCTGACACCAAGAAGGAAGGTGTGGGCAAGGGCACCAATGCTGCTGGCAGCTTTTTGGCCAGGGCTGCACCCAAATCAGCAGCTCTGGCAAGTCCCGGCCCAAGGAGACCTACCACCGCCCCGAGTCCTGGCAAGGCTGCTGCTCGTCTCCTGCCCCAAAGAGCTGTGCCCCTGTGTGTTAGTTCATTTGAATACATGCCCGGAATAAAGACAAGTACAACAGACATTCAAACAGTACAAAAAATCTTATATTGCAGTAAGAATAAAAAACTAGCAAAGAGAATCAAAAGCTAAAAAAGAACACAAAATAACTGCTTTATCAGTTGGCATTCATACAATACTATGAACGGCTTTTATTATAGCATTAACTAGTAATAAGGGAATTAAAGAAACATTTAAAGGATATTAAAACAATACTACGAGTGGCTTTTAATACAGTATTAACTAGTAAAAAGAGAATTACAAGGATATTAAAAAAGGATATAAAACATTTGCTTTCTCAGTTGCTTCCTGTCAATAAACTGTGCTTACCCACACAGACAGGCCAGGGCTGCCAGGATCTGCAGCAGCTGGTCGGTGCCCGTGCTTAGCGGGCGTCCCCATGGAACAACACAGTCTCCATGGCAGGATGAGGATCGCTCACCCCAGCAGTCCTGACACCCCATTTTATCAGCTCCACATTACACCACGTAGGGCCAGTACCCAGTATAAGGTGATGCCTGAGTGGCAGCCAAACCCCGCCTGTTCATCACCTGATAGCAACAGTCTGTGCATGCCCTGCTGTAGGGCAAGGGGCCAGCGACCCCTGCCCACAGAATCTTCCTCTCACCATCATCTTTCTCACCCCTATGGACGACCTCTCCCACTGTGTTTCAGGGGTATTTGTGTCCATCTTGCAGTATGGGGCCAAGCCAAGGAGGAACTCAGCTCTGATCATGGGGGACATCTCGCTGACTTGCTAAAAAACACAATGGACCTTTCAGTTAACTTGTGCAATAAAGTTACACTGTACAATACTCTGTGCTGAGCACAGGCTTGAGAACACAGAGGTGGTTTTGTTAGTGCTGAGCTTACCCAGAGCCAAGGCCTTTCCTGCCCCTCGCACAGACACACTGGGGAGGGGCTTGGGGTGTGGGGGAGGTTGGAGGGGACATAGCCAGGACAGGTTTGGAGTGATGGAGATTGTTTTCCCAAGCCACCATTCCATGGGATAGGGCCCTGCTCTCCTGGAGGTGCTGAACACCTGTCCAACCGTGGCAAGCAGGGAATGAATCCCCTGTTTTGTTTTGCTCCTGTGTGCAGCTTTTGCTTGTCCTTATTAAAGTGTCTTTATCTCAACCCACGAGTTTTCCAGCTTTTCCTCTCCCAGTTCTCTCCACTGTCCTGCTGGTGGGGGAGTGAGGAGTGGCCAGGAGGGGCTTGGGGGCTGCATGGGGTGAAACCACAACAGCCTTTGTTGGTGTCCAGGGTGGGGCTGGGAGTGTTGGAGATACTGACAGATGTGTCTGGGATGTGCTGCTGAAATTTGCAGCTGCTGGTGCTGTCTGGGGCTCCTGGCTGTGTGTCAGAGTTTGGGGCTCCTTGGTGGCTGGAACTCCACGTGAACTCGAGCTGAAGGGCCTGTGACCTGTGGGGGAGTCCAGGGTGGAGCAGAGACCCCCCTGCAGCCCAGGGAGGAGCCCACACTGGAGCAGATTTGCTGGCAGGACTTGTGACCCCTATTATCAATATGAGACTCCAATCTTTCAGTTTAAGGCAATTGCCCCATATTCTACCAATACAGGCCTTTGTAAAACGTATCCCTGTGATTTCCTTAGACTGTGAGCACCATGTGTTCATCTGCAAACACCTTAGAGAGTACCCAGGGATCTCCCAAGAAAAGATTTGAAGGCCTCAAGCCCATGACCACTCTGTAGGGACTAAGGAGCTCTGGGCTCCATGGTGTGGAGACTGAGGACAGTGCAGGGGTAGCCAGAGAGGGTTGAAGGGGGGTTTCAGAGATGAAGGATCCTTATGTCATAGCAGGAAACAGCATGAGAAATAAAGAAACAATGCCAAGTTCAGCTGGACAGATCCAGAATGGAAACAAAGAGAACGGAGTTTCACTCTGAGGGCAATGTTGTGCTGCAACACTTCACCCAGAAGGAGTCTGGATGAGCCCAAGGCTTTGTGTGTGCAGGAAGAGCCAGGGAGGACGCAGAGATGTCAGTGCAGGAAGGTGCCAACCAGGTGGGGCAGCCGGGGGGATGACGACAGCCTGCAGGGAAAGGGGCAGGGCATGGACACCTTAGGACAGCCTGGGCTGGAGAGGAGACAGGGATGGGGAGAAGCTGAAAGGCCCTGACAGAGCCACCTTCTGCAGGTCTTTGGCCATGGCTGCTGTCTGTGCCCCTGATGCCAGGAGGAGGGGAGTGGCCCTTGCAGCCCTGGGGCCTCATGGCCTCCTTGTCCCTGCTCAGCAGCCTGGCAGGTGCCACCCCATGGTCCTGCCCTTGGCCTTGCACATCCCACATCCCAGTGCCCCAGGAAGAGCCCTGAGGAATGAGGCAGGAACAGGATCTGCCTTCATAGGGGCTGGGTTCAGGGCTTGGCCCGTTGGCTTAAGGAAACACATCCAGGTTTTCTCAGCATCAGAGCCACCTTTCCCTTGCTTGTCCATCCTTGTCATCACTGTCTGCAGTTTTCTGCTCTAACTGGAACCTGGGGACATGTTCTCAGTTGTGTCCCTCAATGGGACTCATTAGCACTACAAGAAACTTCAGTGTTTCAATCTCACTTTGACTTCTTGAAAAGTTGTTTGAACTTCCTCTCAGGGACTGAGTCTCATGTAAACAATGCCAAACCCCCTGAGGGTCATGAAATGCCTGAGGCTGTTGCTGTGCTGCTGAGCTGGGCCGGGCTCCTGGCACACAGGGAGCTCCTGGCAACCCAGAAGAGCTTCAAAGAGACAGCTCTGCTGGTGAGCAGCTCCTCTGCACAGCCCAGCAGGGCTGAGGGCACTGCCAGGGCAGCTCAGGGACACCAGCAGGGCACAGACACAGCTTCAAGGGGCTCAGCACTGGCAGGATGGCTGAGAGCTCCCTGCAGGAGGAATCTTGGCAGGGTGCACACGGTGAGTCAGTGGCTGCAGGGCAGTGCAGGGGCAGCTCCTGGAGGCGTCTCCTAAAGCTGGCCCAGCCCCAGCTGATGGGATGGGTGAGCAGGGGCTGTTTTGGGGCAGTTTGGAAGAGCTGTGAAGCCAGGGGTGCAGGCAGAGGTGCCCAGGGCTGTGGGGCAGAGCAGGGTCCTGCAGCCCAGGGTGCTGTGCTGGGCAGGGACTCTGCTGCCTGCCAGGGGCAGCTCTCAGCCAGCCCGGGGAGCTGCTGCCAGGGCTGGGGGAGAAGGGCTGTGGGCAAGGAGCAAACCTGGCAGCTGAGGGAGGATCTTTTCCATGTCTCCCTGTTGCAGGGTCAGACCTGCTCACAGCTCCAGACCACTACACCACATTGAATGGAGAATTTTTTGCAAAGCTCAGAAAAGACAGGGACTACAGGAAAGGAATTAGTCCTGAGGTGTGTTTCCTGCTTAGGCATTGTAGCACAGACATTGTTCTCTCAGTTCAGGAGGCTGCACTGAAATTCCAACTCTTTTACTCTCAGAGATGAACATTTCAGGCAGTCTCAGAAATGAGCACAGGATCCTGGGCAGTGCTGAGCCTTCCCTTGGGGGTGGGCACTCTCCTGTCCCAGCCCTTGGCTTCTCTGCAGGAGGGCTCCTGTCCTGCTCTGTCCAGCACAGCTGCACCTCTGGGCTGGCACAGGGGACACTTCACAGAGCTGACCTTTCAAGCAGGGCTGCCCTGCTCTCAGCACAGATCTTGGTGGGGTTTTTAAAGATGAATCTGTGTGTGAAGTCATCTTCAAGGCAGCCCAAGGGAAAGTGCAGGGCAGAAGGGAAACACACTGAGAGCCACTGCAGCTCTCCTGGCTCTGCAATAAACAAGGGAGAGCTCAGCCCTTCTGCCTGTCCTGTCTCAACACTCGTCAGATTTGTCATCAGAAAAATTTGCCCTTAAATAACCAGATATTATGATTGTAACAAAAAAACCCATTCAAAATTATTTTAAGGATACTCTCTGCCTTTCTTCTGCAGCCCAAATTGCTCCAGGACAACAGTACAGGAACTGAACTTTTCCATCAAAGCTGGGTTCCATGTGACATCCCCTGTGATCATGAGAGCTGTCCCAAACCAGCTCCATGTCTGCACTGCAGCAGAGCAAAGCTGAGTCATTGGCAGCACCATGGGCAGATCTCCTGCTCCTCACAGCACTCTCAGAAAGCACAAAGCAGAGAAAAGAAATGCCTTGACTTGGAGGGGATTTCCCTGAAAACTGCACTGGCTTTGCTGAGAGGGGGCTGTCTTAACTTCTCCCTGTCATTTCATGTTTCTGAGCAGTGTCCCTGTGCTGGGAAGCAGCAAATGCCCAACAGCAGTTCCCTCACCCAGTTCCTCCTCCTGGCATTGGCAGACAGGCGGGAGCTGCAGCTCCTGCACTTCTGGCTCTTCCTGGCCATCTCCCTGGCTGCCCTCCTGGCCAAGGGCCTCATCCTCAGCGCTGTAGCTGCGACCACCACCTGCACACCCCATGGGCTTCTTCCTGCTCCACCTCTCCCTCACAGACCTGGGCTGCACCTGCACCACTGTCCCCAAAGCCATGCACAATTCCCTCCAGAACACCACAACCATTTCCTGCATGAGATGTGCTGCACAGCTGTTTCTCTTTGCCTTTTTCATCTCAGCAGAGTTTTCCCTCCTCACCATTATGTGCTACGACCCCTATGTTCCCATCTGCAAACCCCTGCACTACGGGACCCTCCTGGGCAGCAGAGCTTGTGCCCACATGGCAGCAGCTGCCTGGGCCACTGGCTTTCTCACTGCTCTGCTGCACACAGCCAATACATTTTCCCTGCCCCTGTGCCAGGGCAATGCCCTGGGCCAGTTCTTCTGTGAAATCCCTGCCATCCTCAAGCTCTCCTGCTCACACTCAGGCTACCTCAGGGAACTTGGGCTGACTGTGGTTATTGCCTGTTTAATGTTTGGTTGTTTCATTTTCATTGTGTTCTCCTATGTGCAGATCTTCAGGGCTGTGCTGAGGATCCCCTCTCAGCAGGGACGGCACAAAGCCTTTTCCACGTGCCTCCCTCACCTGGTCGTGGTCTCCCTGTTCCTCAGTACTGCCACATTTGCCTACCTGAAGCCCCCCTCCATCTCCTCCCCATCCCTGGACCTGGTGGTGTCAGTTCTGTACTCGGTGGTGCCTCCATCACTGAACCCCCTCATCTACAGCCTCAGGAACCAGGAGCTCAGGGATGCCATAAGGAAAATGATGACTACATGTTTTTTGAGAAGCAATAAACTCCATCTTTTCTTCTGCAGAACACTCATTGTATAACTCATTTTGGGCCCAGCCTGCCTTCTAAAGCTTTTAATAGTGGTGGTGGGGATTTTCCTGTTTTTTTACTTCTGTTGATGTCATTAAGACTGAAATTTTATTCGTCATCCCATACAGAATTCACTGTCTATCTCTTTTTCTTTTTGACCCACAAAATATACAAATCAGGAATCATGCTTTGTGTGCATTTAAACAAAATAAAAGTTTGTGCAGAAAGATATTTGTCAAACATCCTCCCTGTGTTAGTTTGTACATGAGGAATCACAATCTCTGAGTGTAAGAAAGGACACAAATTCTTTTTTCCAGATTCTTCCTCAAGACCTCCCTTGAAGCTGGAGGGTATTTCCATGTTTGCAGATGTAGAGAGGAAAAGAGTCCCAGCACTGCCAGGGAGCACCAGCACTGTGTCTGTTCAGAGCTGCTGTCTTTGCACTCCCACCCTCTCCTTTCCTGTCCGTGCCCAAGGCCTGAGTGCTCTGGCAGCTCAGTCACTGTCCTGCTGTGGGTCAGGCCTGTGAGCACAGGCAGGGACAGGCCCTGGGCACTGCTGGGACAGGGCTGGGCTCCACAACAGCAGTTCCAGCAGCAAAGGGATTCCCCTTCAGGCACTTCCTGAAGGCTGAGGTCTTTTCTCAACACTGATATCGAGAAGAAGTCCAAGGATTAGACTCTCCAAAGTCTTGTTGCTTTGCTTGTTTCTCATGGAGACAGTGCAGTGAGGTCAGGGACCCACTGGGACTGCAGGGACTGAGGGCTGGTTCAGATGTTGTGTGTTGGTGGCCGATGGCCAATGGAGGTGACAAATGGTCTCCAAGTCACCTGCCTGGGGCTCTGCAGCTTGTGAGGGCTCTGATGGCAGGTGAGGACTTGTCTGTAGGAACTCAGGAAGTGCAGGAGAGCACAGAGGATCTGCAGGGACAGCCAATCCCATCCAGTCAGCAGGGAATGGAGCCCTGGAGCAGAATCCTGCCCAGGGTGGAGTCACCCAGATATCAAGTACTAAATCTTGCTGTGAAGGGGCAAACAGAGCTCTGCAAGCCCAGGGGACACAGCAGGTACAGGGAAAACTCTTGCAAGTGACTTGTGTTCCCCTCAGTGAACTTCCACAGGTCGATCAAGAGCAGCCCCCAAAGCCATGTCCCAGCTCTGGAACAAGGCAGGGCCCCTCTGAGCCCCCTCCATGGCCACACAGGAGCGTCTGTGGGAGGTGGTCAGTGGCAGGGAGCACCATCAGCTGGCTCTGCCTCCCAGCTTGTCCAGCACAGCCAAAGGCTCTGAGATGTCTCAGGGTTCCTTTGGTTCTATGAGGCCCTGCAGTGTCACAGTGGCCCCTTGAGTCCATGAGGTTCCTCAGGGTCAGAATGGCCCCTTGGCTCCATGAGCTTCCAAAATGTCTCAGGGTTCCTTTTCTTCCATGAGGCCCCACATGTCAAAATGGCCCCTTGGTTCCACCACATTTCAGTGCTCCTCTGTTGCTTTGTTTCCACGGGGCCCTGCAGTGCCACAATGAACGTTTTGTCCCATGAGCTTCCAAAATGTCTCAAGGTTCCTTTTTTTCCATGAGGCCCCGCATGTCCCTTGGTTCCATGAGATTCCCAATTTCCCTCTGTTCTTTTGGATCCATAAGGCCCTGTAGTGTCAAAACTGCCCCTTGATTCCATGAAGTCCCACAGTGTCCCTGGATTCCTGTTCTTCCATGAGATTCCCCAGTGTCACAATGGTCTCTTGATTCCATGAAATTCCACTATGGCCCAGGGTTTCTTTCTTTCCAGAGCCCCTGCAGTACCACAATGGCCTCCTGATTCCATGTGCTTCTGCAGTGTCACAATGGCCCCTTTATTTCATCAGGTTACCCACTGTCTCTGGGTTCCTTTGGCTCCATGGAGCCCTTGAGTGTCCCAGCTGCCTCTTGATTCCAAGGGTTTCCCCAGTGTCACAATGACCCCATTATTCCATGAGGTTCTGCAGTTTGTCAGTGGCTCCTTGATTCCATGAGATTGCACAGCATCATCACAAAGCTGAGCCCATCCTGATGAAAGTTCTGAGGAGGTTGGGAGGAACTGGGACAAAAGGGATAAGATAATTGGGGAAGGAAAGAGGTGCTTGGCCAAGAGAGAGGAAAGATTTTCATGAGGTAAAACCAGGTTCAGGGAATGCTGAGGGTGCTGAAACACTGACTGTGCAAACATTCCTTTAGGCACTTTGTAACCTCAAGCCCCAACACTACCTAAAAGTGCTGCCCCTCCCATTGAGAGGAATCCACTGCCCTAATTGCAAGCCAGAAAAAGCCCAAACCCAGAACTCCAGACTCTTATTTGTCCTCTAATGCCCACCCCAATCCCAAACCTGTATTACCACTATGAAAAGTCAAGCTTTAATCCTGAACCAGACCAAAACCCGCTTCCCCTAATCATGAACCAGACACTGCCAGCAGAACAACAAACCTCCCAATGTTCTGTTTGATCCCCACCCTGAGCTCTAAACCCCAAGTCATGACCATTCAGCACCCCCACAGCCCTTGGGAGCAGGACAAGGACCTGGAGGGCCCAGAGCAGGCCCAGGGGGTTGGCAGAGGAATGGGAGGTGACCTGGATCTGCTCAGCTCTGCAGTGACCCCCAGGAGAAGGGCCTGGGCTCTGGCAGGGATGTCCTGTGGCACAGGGGCTCAGGATCCAAGTTCAGAAGGCCAAGTGCACATGGCAACAGCCAGAGCTGGTGCAGAGACATCAGGGAGGGTCTAGAAATGCTGCTGGGAGGGGGTGGGAAAGCAGGAGGGGTGTGTGCAGCCTGCAAGGCCAGAGCAGCAGCAGGGCCAGGGCAGGACAGCCTGCAGGAGAGATGGCCAAGGGCTCTGGCAGGGCTGCAAGGCCCAAAGGCACCCAGGCCTTTGTCCCCTTGCCTCTGGCAGCTGCCTCTGCCACTCAGGCCACCACAAGCAACTTTCCTGGCAGGTTCTGCCCTTGGGTTCTGCCTCGCCCCTCCCTCAGCAGCCTGGCAGGGGTTGCCCAGTTTTGGGCCTTTGTTGTTCCTCCCCCTCCCATCCCAGTGCCCCCCAAACAGCCCTGAGCCAGCCGGGAGGGACAGGATCTGCTGGGCCAGGGCCTGGGGCTCAGGCCTTGGCCTTTGTGCTCCACAAAACCAAGGCAGGCTTTGCTCAGCATTGCAGGGGCCTGCCCAGAGCCTTTGTCTGCCTGCACTCCTGGCCTCCAAGGAGCTGCTCCAAGGAGTCCCTGGGGAGGCTTTGGCAGTGCCTGCCCTCAGTGGGGCCCAGCAATGCTTCAAGGCACTTGCACTTTGGCTTCTGACTTCTTCAGCAGCTGCTTCAATCTTCTCTCAGTACCTCAGGATCATGGGCTGGGCTGCAAACACACCGTGAGGCTCATTAAAATGCAAAAATCCCTCAGGATCTCTTTGTCTTCCTTTAATTGTCTTCAAGGCAATTTCAAAACAAGTCTTCAAAGTTTGTACTTTTTTTTTAATTTAAGGATGGCTATTTTTTAGTTCAGAGGAGAGGTGATAGAGGTGTTCTCCAAGTGATCTTGATGCTGAGTGTCTCCTCAGGAGATCCACACTGACCCTGGATGATCAACCTTGCTCCTCACCCCCAACCTCACCAGTTCTGACATGGCCCATCTTGGACTGACAGCTGATGCAGCTCCA